GCTCAGACAGCACTGACCACCTGCGGTGGTCCCAGACAGCCCTGACTCTCCCCTCCTCCTCTCCCCCCCAGATGTCTTTCCACGTGAACTACAAGTCCCCCTGCGGCCTGACCCTGCGCAGCATGAGCGAGATCGAGCGCTACCTCTTCTCCGTGCACTGCGACTTCATCTTCCTGGAGATGTTCTGCCTGGACCCCTACGTGCTGGTGGACCGCCGCTTCCAGCCCCAGAAGCCCTCCTACTTCATCAGCGACATCACCGAGGGCAAGGAGGACGTGCCGCTGTCCTGCGTCAACGAGATCGACGTGACGCCGCCGCCCAGCGTGGCCTACAGCAAGGAGCGCATCCCGGGCAAGGGCGTCTTCATCAACACCAGCCCCGACTTCCTGGTGGGCTGCGACTGCACGGACGGCTGCCGGGACAAGTGAGCGGGGTACCAGGGGCGTCTGCGTGGGGGTACGGGGGGTCTGTGTGGGGGTATCGGGGCGTCTGTTTGGGGGTATCGGGGTCTGTGATTTCCCAGTGGGGCGCGACTGCACTGACGGCTGCCGGGACAAGTGAGTGGGGTATCGGGGCGTCTGTCTGGGGGTATCGGGGTCTGTGGTTTCCCAGTGGGGTGCGACTGCACTGACGGCTGCCGGGACATGTGAGCGGGGTATCGGGGCGTCTGTGTGGGGGTACGGGGCGTCTGTCTGGGGGTATCGGGGTCTGTGATTTCCCAGTGGGGTGCGACTGCACGGACGGCTGCCGGGACATGTGAGTGGGGTACCAGGGGGGTCTATATGGGGGTACTAGGGTATTGGGGTGTCTGTGTGGGGTTTTTGGGGCTGCTGCATGAAGGCACCTGGGCGTCTGTATGGGGGATTCAGGGCTTCTGTGTGAAGCGTTATCGGGGCGTCTGTGGGGTGTCTGAAGTGCTGTCCTCTCTGGTTTCAGATCCAAGTGCTCCTGCCACCAGCTGACTGTCCAGGCCACTGCCTGCACCCCGGGTGCACAGGTGAACCCCAACGCTGGATACCAGCACAAGCG